TGGAAACCCAAAATCTCTGTAAATGTTTATGAAAATTAATAAAATATAATTATAGAAAAAAAGAAAAGAGGGGATAAATAATTAATATGGTATTGAAACAGACGAGGGAAAAAACTGTATAAAAGGAATATATGATTAGGTTTTCTCCTCACACCAGTAAAGTGGACTGGGGTTGGGGTGGGGTCTGTATAACAATGAAATAATTTCCCCCCCCAAAGGAAAAAAGCGAACTATGGGGGAGGGGTCACAGGGAGGAAAATATGCAACAATGAATGAATGGAATTTCAAGTTCTGTGTAAACTTTTATTAAAATTTTAATAAATAAAAAAAGAATTAAAAACATTTCTAAAAGGGTGACTATCGTAGAGGTAATTTTAACCTTCTTTAAATAGAACACCTTACTCAAGTTTTTAACAACTAAAGTAGAACAAAATTTGTTGTTGTCCTTGGTGGCCCAAATCTATCTCTATTTTGTTTCAGGTGAACAGATACCTTTATAGAAATCCATTTCCCCATCCTCAACTTTCCCACTCCTGAGTTTAGGTCAGAACTATACTGTAAAATTAGCTTTAGAAAAAACCGAAAAGTTAAGCTTTAGAGAAAAATTTTCTTTAAAGATTTATTGTTGTTGTATATCATAGAATTAGAACCAACCCTGTGGTGTGTTTTCAGACAGTTAATCACTCAGGAGGAGATTGCCCTTCCTTCTTCCACTGAGGCTCTGGTGGTCTTGAACTATGTGCCTTCAGGATTGTAGCACAGCTTCTTGCAACTAAATATAAAGATTAAGCAAACTAAAAAGTTTAATTATGATAAAGAAACCCTATCCTTAATAAACAAATTTTTATTTTAATCGTGAAAGTTTATGGAAAAGTTGGATTTTCATTCATTCATTGCTGCATATTTCCCTCCTATTCCCTGCTTTTCTCCACCCCCAGTTCAAATATATTTTTTAAAATTCAAGCGTATTCTTTTTTATTTTCTAACTCCAGCTCATTGCTCATTTTTTTTAAATAAAATTTTTATTTTATACTGGTTTACTTAGACATTTCAGGAGAATGAGAACTGAAGCACAAACGGAGACTTGCACATCAATGTTCATAACAGCTTATTCAACATCACAAGAGCGTGGCAACAGCCCAAATGTCCAACCATAATTAAATGGATTGTGGAATTATGGTACATTCACATGATGGAATACTACAGAGCACGCAGGAGCCATGATTTTGTAAATTGCTACCTAACTGGGGAGGGACTGGAGAGCATTATGCTGAGTGAACTAACTCAATCCCTTAAGGACAAATACTGTATAAGACTCTCACTGTAGAATGTGTATGAGGATCCAAGGCGGGGGGAGGGGATACCAGAGGGGTGTGGAAGGGGGGTTTGGGGAGGTGGTTAATCATAAGGTCGCACAATTTGATGGAGGGAAGGACGGGTGGGTAAAGAAAATGGGAAACATCCGGTGTGAAAAACAGTGTCTACCCTTTTTGGTTTGTTTTAAATGCTAGTCTTTTTAAAAATTTTGACACAGGGCAAAAAGAGAATGAGCTTTTCCATGGCCATTTTTATCTTTCAGAGACCACCTTCCAGGGCCCTCTCCCCGCTGGCTGGGCAACCCCACCCCGGAACCTGGCGCAAGTTTGCAGACCCGGCCGCTCACGCGTGGAGTCCCAGGCTGCGCTCTGGTGCCGAGCGCGCCCCTAGCCGCCCGCGCGGTGGTGCGCCGTGGACTCGCAGCGTGCAGGCGCTCTGTCCCCGCGCGGGGGCACCAGAGCCCTCAAAGCGCAGACACTGCGGCTTGTTCTCCCAGCTCCCTCTTAAATGACTGCGGAAAACACTCTTACAGCTGCAAATGCTAAGATCTCAGAGCAGGCTCGCATCCTGCGTCCATCACCTGAGTCCACAGAACAGCGCTCTTCCCTTGACCCTTGTGGCTTCACTCCTTTGTCCTTAGTGGGACCCCCTGAGGCTCTGGCTGCTTTGTAGCTGGCTGCTTTGGTGCTCCGGGGAGCGCAGGCGCAGGGCACGGGTTCGTGCACACCCTCGTTCACACGAACACACGCAAGGTACGGCCGGGAGTGCGGGCTCCGGGTGCCCCGAGTGGGGTGGGCCTCACGGGAAGTAAAGCTGCGATCAGAGAAAGAACGCTTCCTACCAGGTTATAGAATCGGAGAAAATGACGCGGCGCCACATATTGGCCTGGCCACGTCTGCGTCCACGCATTTTGAGATCACGTTCTGCGAGCTCTCTGCCCCCTCACATGGCTCGACCTCCTGGGCAGGGAATACCAGAAATCGATAGGGGGAAGACTCATTTAAAGAACCCAGAGTTGCTTTTCTAGACTCGTTCCTTCTGAAAAATACCAACAGGAAACCCTTCTGAGCCTCCATCCCCAAACAGATGTCCCAGAATGAAAGAAGGTGGTCCTTGGTTATCAATGCAGGACACTTTGGTATTTACAATATAGTAATTATTTTTAGCATAGCTAGCCCTCCCTTTTCCACAGGGTAGGAAAGGAGGACATGGTGGGAAGGATGAGGGAGGAAGAGGGAGGGTTCCTATAATAAGAATTGGGCGCATTATTTTTTTAGTGCCATTCTGAACCCGAACCCGGTTTCCATTTCAGAAAGGGGGACACTGTGCTGCGAATGTAGACGAGGACGCTATAAGGGACAGGGTCATTAAACTGACCGACAGTCCATCTCAGGGTGCCTGGATCCAAGCGCACATACACGCACACGCACACACAGAGCGCGTCTACACGGCCGGGTTGTGTGCGTGTGTGTGCGCGCCTGTGTAAACACCCACATGCTGTCTGCTCCTGGCCAGAGGCGCCCAGCCCTCCCCGCACCTCCCTCGCCCCCAGATTCCCTCCCCTCCCTGTTGCTTTTGTCTGGAGGGTGTTAGGGTTTGTGTGTGGATGAGCGTGTGTGTTTTTAGATTGCAGACTAATTTTCTGGAGTTTCTGCCCCTGCTCTGCGTCAGCCCTCACGTCACTTCGCCAGCAGTAGCAGAGGCGGCGGCGGCGGCTCCCGGAATTGGTCTGAAGCTGGAGCCTCTCTCGCTCCTTTGCTTGCGCTCTCCACTCAGTCCCGGTGGCGGGAGGAGCCCGCATCCGAGCGCCGCGGGCGGGCGGAGGCGCAGAGCTGGTGAGCAGCGCGAGCAGTCCCTTTCACCTGGGCCCTCACCGTGCTCTCGGGACGCTGTCCGCTGCTCCCCAGGTGGGACGCACCGGCCACCGGCCACCTGTCCGCTCCCCCTGCGTCGGGCGACTGTGGAGGATTCTGCAGCATCATTGGCGGCCCATTTACGGGCAGTCTCTGCGCCCCTTATTTAGAGGGTCCTTGGCCAGCCTGGACCTGAAATCCAGTCTCTGTGACTTGCCCTGCCTTCCCACCCCCGACCTCAGGCTTGGAGAGAGGGTGGGCACACTGGTTGACCTGGCGTTGGTGCCATCGAGGGGCAAAATTAATTCTGATGTGGCGTTGTGGAGCGGGGGCCCTTATCCGTCCACGTCCACTGCCACCGGGTGGGGATTAAGGAGCGCGCAGGGCCAGTAGCCAGGTTCGCCATGTCTGGAATCCTGCATTCAGACTCAAGTGTGTCTGTTTGTCTTTAGACTCGAGGTGCGTCCCAGATCCCCGAGAGCTTTAAAGAGGAGCCTGCGCGCCAGCGTGTTCCGGAGCGCCGCCAGCCGGTGCCCCTCGCGCCAGGCCATGCAGCGGTGCCCACGGTGGAGCTGGGAGCGACGGTAGCACCTCCCGTGCGGCGGCCTGCGATGCCTCGGCCACTGTAACAGTGTAAGCAGTGCCACCATTGGTCTGGCAGACGCTGGACTTCCCGCGCCCGCAAGCACCCCCAGGAGCGAAGGGACCAGTGAGCACGGGGAAGGCTGCTAGGCTCAGGAGGAGGAGGCCTGTCAGTGCAGCGCGCGGACACGCTCTTGGCCTGGCACAGGCGGCTAAGGATGTCGTCCTGGACGAGGTGGCATGGACCCGATATGGCGCGGCTGTGGGCCTGCTGCTGGCTAGTGATGGGTTTCTGGATGTCTGCGATCGCCTGCCCCAAGACCTGCAAATGCAGCGCTTCCAGGATCTGGTGCAGCGACCCTTCTCCTGGCATCATGGCATTTCCCAGGTTGGAGCCCAGCAGCGTAGACCCTGAGAATATCACCGAAATGTGAGTTCCCCTTGCTCTCTGTCCGTCCTTCCCTCTCTGCAGCTTGGGCTGTGCTTGCCAGGCAGGCCCTAGAGAAAATGAATTCTGTCCCAAGGCGGGAGAGAAGTCAGGGAGAAGAGAAGGCTCACAGGGCCATCTGTCAGTGACCTGGCCAGGGGCTTCTAGCTCAGGGATAGTGTGACACTTTACTTATGTACCTTACAGAAAAGAGTTTCACATGTGCCTTCTATTTCAAAGCCTAGTGGCCTGTGCTCCAGGCTTTCCATGGCTATGTGCAACAACTAAATTTTTTATAATTTTTCTTTCAATAGATATCATGTTTGTATTGTGTTAAAAGTCCAGTCATATTTAATAGAAAGGTGAAAAGAATTAACTTTCGGTCCCCTGTTAAAAGAGGTCTCTCCTTCAGCATCTTTCTCTGAGATTTGCTGTTAACTGATTTCCCTTCCTTCCCATTTCATCTATCAAATTTTTCTTAAGAGATTGTATCCAGGCATGGCTTGAAAATGATCTGTAAGAGGAGAAGTTCTCAGTGTTGAAATGCATTCACTGCAAGAGAAAATATGATAGTTGGAAGCCTAAAAGCCTGTTCTGATTTAATTTAGACTTGACTTCCTAGAGATCTAGTTTTGAGACCATTTGGGTTGTAAATCTGAATTGCTCATTGAACAATTTCCTGGGGCTAGGTTGGATGATAAAGCTGGGTGTTGCAGTTTGATCAGTGCTGGCTTTAGCAGGAGACCCAATGGACCCCAATTGTTTGGGCAGGTCCTAGTCTGATGGAGAAGTCAGTAGGGTATTTGTACCCATTCTTCATCCCTTATGACAGATCAATGACAAGCAGGCACTCACTGGTCTTCTCCTCAGCATTTTTTTCACCTGTGTTACAGGTGTGGTTTTGTTGAGGGGATTTTGTCATTTCATGAACATCAGCTTGCATTCATTCTTGCAGAAGGTTCTATGACAAAGTTTCTCCTGCAGTTTTCCTGATGGTGGTTGACACAGACAGGCGGAGTAAGGCTTGGGCTGTGGCCTTCCGGTTGGCAAATGCGCATGCATTTTCTTGCATTTTCTCACACAGAAAATGCACAGTCCTTTCTTTCAACATGGGTGATGGAGAAAACCTGTTTTAAATGTAAGTAAGAGAACTTTCTAGTGTCTCCTGCTGCTCTCCTGGTCATGCTCAGATTATAAGGCCCAGGCAGAAGGAAATGACAGCAGAACAGGCATGTGCAGGCCTAGTGTAGCTAGGAGATCCGCTGGAGATGCTGGCTGTCAGGCAGCCAGGGAGGCAGGGTCTCCAGCTTTTTGGCAAGGCAGGATGGGGAAGGGAGGGTAAGCTGTGCCTCCGTTTCACTTGCCTGACCCTAGCTGGCCAAAGCTGGGCATGCTGAATCTAGTTGTTAGTGGTTTTTTTTCAGGTTCTGCCTCAGTTTTCCATGATGTTTGTCTGTATCAGATAGAAGCTAGAGATGGACTAGCAGTCTCTTTAGACTATTTCCCAGCCATGGGGGCATGTCTTTGTCCATTGAGGTGTTTAGTGTTGTTTTTAAATTCTGTGCTGGATGGTAGATGTGTACAAAAGGGGCCGATAAGAGAAGGCTATCCATTTTGACAGTCAACATCTGAGGAAAGAGAACAAAACTATTTTTAAATTGAAAATTATTTTAAACCTTGGTAGTCTTAGCTATGTAGTGTATAGGAAATCAGTAGATTTGAGCAGAGGATTCTCGTATCCATTGCCAACAATTGTTGTTATTTGTTGATAGCAGGTTCTGTCTTAAGGCTTTTAAAAATATCTAACTTGTCACAGCTATTCATTCTATTATGGCATTACTAAGTTCTGCTTCCTTTCTTTCCACCTCCTTTTGATGAGGGAGTTTTACTGAGACTGGGAGGATTGAGAGACGTGAAGGAGTCTGTGTTTGTCTTAGAGAGAGTTAAATTAGTAAGATTAGTCAGGCTAGTGGGACCTCAGGTGGCCTAGTGGCAAGACACTGCACTGCAATCCTGAAGTTACATAGTTCAAGGCCACCAGCTGCTCTGTCGGAGAAGAATAGCTAGTCTTTTCCTCCCTGGCGATTAACTGCCTCTGAAAACTCACCAGAGAGTCAGCAATGGGTCAGTTCCTATTCGACAATACACAACAACAGTCAGCCTGGGTAGATATGAGCTCTGAAAGATAAAACATTACTCTCCTTTACACCTCTGTTTAATTTGCATGAAAGCAGTTTATGCCTCAGTCTCTTTATTTGTAAAATATATCCCAACACTCGTTCGGAAAGCATCTTTTATAACAATTTTGGATTTTGCTTTTTTGATACTAAGGTACCACTGATGAATAAACTTGTTTCATTATCTTTATATGACATCATTTGGGCCTTCTTATTTTTCCTTTCTTGCTTTTTTATTGATATTTGCTTGACTAATTTTTAAATTCTTAGTCAGTTGTGATAAGCTGCTGTTGAAGCCAAATGACTATATTTTCCTCCTTTGTTGTTAGCACTGATGGTGTTCTCCAAATAACTCATGTCAAAATTCCAATTTAGTAGCGTTCAGTTTAAGTTCCATGACTCTACGTTGTCATTTTTATTTAAATGGGAATAATACATGCAAATAAAATGTAAAGAGCATTTGCTGAAGCAGCAATTACCAATATATTTAAAAATGCTTGTTTTGCTATGGACCGATGGGGGGAAAAGTCTGCCATCAGTGTATTTGTTTCAAACTCTCCACACTCCCTGGTTTATATTTAGCGCTTTCCCCTTGATAGATATACAAACCTGTCCATTATCACACTCCTGATGAGCAGGTCCTCAGGCTACCACATGACGTTTACATTTAAAAATTATAACATTGTCACATATAATAGAAATTCAAGAGAAACCTGTTGTTGAAGTTATGTAACTGGCCATTTAGATCTCACTTGTTTCAAGAACCAACGGGCATTGCAAAGGACAAAGTCCTTCTCATCCAACTAGTAAAAGTCATGGTCAAAATAGGTCATGCAATTTTTTTTTTTTACTGCACATGTTTTATAAAGGTCAATGATGATCTGTTTCTGAATGTCTTAGGTGAAATTTTCAGATTTTGAAGATAATTTCTCCAGTACAGTGAAATAAAATTTGCCACTTCCTTTGTCAAAACTTGTGTGAACGTTATTGGCGGCTTGGTTAAATAACTGGGGGAAAAAAAAAACTGGATTGATTTTGGCCCTCTCACCTTAGTAAGCTTTGCCATTAAAATTAACTGTACTAAAAAAAAAATTCCAGCCTCCACAGGGATTCAGAGAAAACCTTAGTTTTGAGTGTTCTGGAGCTTACTTTGTAGTCTCTCCATTGGGAATTCTTCAACTTTGAATTGTGTTTCACATGCATTGAAGAACCACAGAGTAAAATTTGAGTCTGGTTACATAAGCCACTTTGGGCTTGTTAATAAATAAGACATCTAATTTACAGCATTCATTATTTAATAAAACTTGCAAGCTGGGGTTGAAATTATGTTGTCTTAATAGTGAAGATATTCGTGAGTTTGGCTTAGCACAACCATGTAGGTGTCTTTAAATGCTATACCTTCCATCTTTGCAGGATGGAGGTTTTTATTATGTTAGTATGAAAATTGAAAAGCCCATGACCTTTCTGACCCTCTTTTCTTCCATCCACCCCTTTCATCAGCCATCATTGACTACACAGGAAAATGTGTTTGATTTTTTTTTTCCACATGAAAAGTGATAGTTCCTTATGGGAATTCAAAGCACTGGAGTTAAGATAAAATCCTGGGTTGTGTTATTACCAGCAAGTAATGGGAAATGGAGCCAAAGTGGCCACAGCAACTCAGCCCAGAGTTAACATCTGTTCAAGGTCTTTCGCTATTTCCCCATAAACCTCTCTGCTTGTGTCTGCTTCAGTATTTTCTTGTAAGGATATTTTGTAAGCTGAAAAGTTGTCAGCGTTAAAGTCTCTTTCTCCCTAGGAATATTCTCTATGATCTCTTGGACTATATCTATAGTCTGGAGGGCAGGATTCATAGGCTTGCTATGAGTTGTACTCTACTTGACAACACCTAACAATAACAATTTACAGAACTATAAAAAACCTAGAGATTTTGCTTAGCTAGGAGCTCTGGTGGCTCTAGAGGCTGATTGCTGTACAATGAGCCCTTTTGCTTTGGTGAGGGCCAATGGGAATGTCTGATTGGGAAGGATTGTGGAGTGAAGGACCTCATGGAGGGCCCTTGGTTTTTAAAATTCCCTTAGCCTTGTGTTGTTATATTTTGGAGGAACATACTTCTTAGTCATACAGCACTCTTTTGTCAATTTGCTATACTGAGCTAATCTGGGTTTGCTGTGATACTGAGCCTTGTGCCATTTGGGTGTCAAATGCTATAACGATTGCCCGTGGTAGACAATGTTTGGCAGAGCTCCCAGTTTAAGACAGATTTGGAAGCAGGAGTGGCATCCACTTTTTAAACCACATGCCTATGGAAACTATGAACTTGGAGGAATGACAATAGGTATAGAAAGACTTCAAGGTTTTTGTTCATAGAGTTGATATGAATCATGACTAGACGGCAGTCAACAATAGCAGGGAGCTCTGGTGGCTTAGGGGCAAGAAGGTACTCTGCAATTCCAGAGGCTCAAATTCAGTAGCATAGCGAGAAGGATGGGCAATCTCCTCCCATGCTATTAACTGCCTTTGAAACC